GGTGATTTTCAAAAAGACCTCTCCTTCCACATGCCAGTTTTCAGGAACCAAGAAGGTACTCTTTTTTTTATTAATTTACTTATTTATTTATTTTAATCTGAGAGACAGCTCCATTCTGTTGGTTCACTCCAAATGCCCACAACAACCAAGACTGCTTGAGGGGGCTGGCACTGTGGTGTAGCAGGTAAAGCTGCCACCTGCAGTGCCAGCATCCCATGTGGGCGCCTGTTCAACTCCTAGCTACTCTGTTTCCCGATCCAGCTCTCTGCTATGGCCTGGGAAGGCAGTGGAATATGGCCCAAGTCCTTGGGCCCCTGCACCCACGTGGGAGACCCAGAGGAAGCTCCAGGCTCCCGGCTTCACATCAGCCCAGCTCCATCCATTGTGACCATTTGGGGAGTGAACCAGCATATGGAAGACATTCTCTCTCTCTCTCTCTCTCTCTCTCTCTCTCCTTTGCCTCTGCCTCTCTGTAACTCTCTGCCTTTCAAATAAATAAATAAATCTTAAAAAAAAAAGGACATCCTGATGGAAGTACTGACTGGCTGAGGACCAGAATGAGAAACTGGTAATTCAAGCCCAGTCTCCCATGAGGGTGGCGGGACCTCAGTTACTTGAGCCATCACTGCTGCCTCCTAAGGTCTGTGTTGGTAGGAAACTGGAGCCAGAAGCTAGAGCCAGAAATCAAACTCAGACACTCCAATGTGGGAAGCAGGCATCTTAACCACTAGGCTGACTACCCAGTCCCAAATGCTCTTTAAATACCTTCAGATGCTAAGAGTCAGTGGTGCTGCTCTTCAGAGTATGTGTTAGGATCTGGAGTAGCCTTTTATGTGGAATGGTGCATTTTAAAAATATCCTTTTTTTTTTTTTTCATTGAATGAGTATGATCTTAATTAGCCAGAGTCTGTGGTGGGAGCTGTGGGGAACCCATTGTTTCAATAATTGCTTTAAGAAGACTTGTGATTTCTGAGCCTCAGATGAAATTAGGTATATATTCCTAGGTGAAACAGGTCAGGGACCAGCCTCGGCTTCACCTCCTGACCAAAGGAGGAAAGGTTAGATGGAATTTTTACCTCTGAGGCTGGGGCCCCTAAAGAAGTGAAGTCAGAGTATCTGATCATTTCAGGTCCTGGAAAAAAACTCATTATAAGCATATCCCAACTCCAGGCTTCTCTAAAGCCATGTCTTTCCTTGACCTGCCATTCAGTCTTCCAGACTAAATGGCTGTTCTTGGCCAGGGAAAACCTGAACCTCGAGCCAGTGGTGGGAGGATGGTGATGGGAGCGGTGGCCACCCTCTTACTTGAGTGCTTTTTTGCAGGAGCAGCATCCAGGGCAGCGTCATCTGTAACAATGCCGTGATCGAGAAGGGAGCAGACATCAAAGACTGCTTGGTTGGAAGTGGCCAGAGGATTGAAGCCAAAGGTAATCCAGAGCCCAAGTTACAATCACAGATACCCTTTGTTACCCTGCCGCACTAGCACAGCTAATGCGCTGTGCTCCATGATGAGGATAAGGGAGGCAAGCATAGGCATACACTGCAGATGACAGCATAAATTGATGCAACCAGCTTTGAAGAGCCCCTAAAACCTTGACTTAATCAAAATTTCAAGCCTCACCAAAATCTCAAACTTTGATTTGATCAAGAAGTAGATGAGGCTGAAGATCAGTAAAAAGAGCTGATTCCTTTTGAGATTATTCCTAAACTTTAAACAGCATAAGGTTGGAAGCTGCTGAAGTTAGTAACCTCACCAATTCTGTAGAAGCAATGTCATTTTCCTTCTCTTTGGTAAACAGACACCTTCTTCAGTATTTTTCCCCTTCCCTTTTTAAAGTCACATATCAAAGCAAAATTCAGACTACAATATGGCTGTTTAGTGCTGTGTTGTCGTTCCTCCTGCTCAAAGTAAGGTTGTTTCTTAACTATACCTGTCTGTTCCACCTCTGTAGCAGCCAAAGATGCTTGGTCTCATACATGTTAAGAAAAAGTCATGTATCTCCCTTTTAAGCTTTAGAATCTAACAGACCTAGGTTCGGATCTCAGCTATGCAACTCACTGGATGTGTACCAGTTTAAATTTTTAATCTCTAAATCTTAACTAGAAAAATTTGGACAATATTGCCTATGTAGGAGGCTTATTGTGAGGATCAGTTACAGTGGAACATTTGGTTTTTGTTTTATTTTTTTAAGATTTTATTTTAGGGCCGGCGCCGTGGCTCACTAGGCTAATCCTCCGTCTTGTGGCGCCGGCACACCGGGTTCTAGTCCCGGTCGGGGAGCCGGATTCTGTCCCGGTTGCCCCTCTTCCAGGCCAGCTCTCTGCTGTGGCCCGGAAGTGCAGTGGAGGATGGCCCAAGAGCTTGGGCCCTGCACCCCATGGGAGACCAGGAGAAGCACCTGGCTCCTGCCATCGGATCAGCGCGGTGTGCCAGCCGCAGCGCGCTGGCCGCGGCAGCCATTGGAGGGTGAACCAACGGCAAAGGAAGATCTTTCTCTCTGTCTCTCTCTCTCACTGTCCACTCTGCCTGTCAAAAAATAAAAAATAAAAATAAAAAAAATAAATAAAATCAGGGAATTTTATTTATTTGAGAGAGAGAGTTACAGACAGAGAGAGAGAGAAACAGAAAGATCTTCCATCTGCTGGTTCACTCCCCAAATGGCCACAACATCCAGAGCTGGCTGATCAGAAGCCAGGAGCCAGGAGCTTCCTCTGGGTCTCCCATGTGGGTACAGGGGCCTGAGTACTTCTACTGCTTTCCCAGGCCATCGCAGAGAGCTGGATCGGAAGAGGAGCAGTCAGGACTCGAACTGGTGCCCATATGGGATGCCAGCACCACAGGCAGAGGCTTCACTCGCCATGCCACAATGTGGCACCACAGTGAAATGTTTTAAGGAGTATACCCTACTCCTGGAACATGCTAGGGGGTCTTAGAGTTCCCACATACACACCATGCTCTTTTATCTCTCCACTCTTTGCATGGGATCTTTCTTCCTGAATTTCTTTTCTCAAAGACTCTGCCTAAGGGTTCTCTCCTATAGAGCCTTTCCTAACTCTTCCCGTGACTTACGCAGAACTGAACATTCCTTCCCCTGCGTCCCTGAACTTTGCCACAACTTTATCAAAGTATTCATCGCACTTACTGACAGTTATCTGTGAGTTTGTGTTCCCTACTAGACTGAGATTCTCAGGGCGAAGCCATCTGTAGCACTCAGAACAGCTGCTGATGGTGCTAGAAGCAGGCAGGCAAGCAGTGAATTTTGCATCCATAAAGCATACTTCAGGGGATTTCTGGGCAGAAAGTCAGGGTTCCAAGAAAGAACTCTATGAGATGTTTGCAGTTATCATGAGATGGGCTTCAGCATTTCCTGTACCTTCTGACTTAGTAACTAGCACTATGAAGCTACTTTTTAACAGAGACTCCTGAATGGTTCTTCTGAAGGGGAGGGGTAGCCAGGGAAGTCATCTGGGCTCTATACTGAGAACCTTACAACTCCTTACTCTCTGTTCTCTTCTGGAGGGACCAATGCCTACAACACAGTAGGCACTGCCTTCCTGCCACAGGTGCTCCCTGGCCAATCATCTGTTCCCACTGTCACTGTAATAACGGAAGTTATTGAGCCATATGGAAAAAGCAAATTCCTAGCCACCAATGTAGCACTCAAGCCCTGTTATTACAGAAGACCTTGACAGACATCCACTAAGGTTCTTACCAGCAAAGAGCTGAATAGATGGCAAAGTCCCTGCCAGTGTTTCTCACATGGAAGAATTTCAGGAAAATTTCAGTAAATTAGATCCTAATTTCTAATATTAAGAAGTTCATCCTAAGAAGTAATACTGTCCAAATTCTAAGCATTTTTGTATTAGGGTTTGTTTGTTTATTTATTTATTTGAAAGGCAGATTGACAGAGAGAGGAACAGAGATCTTCCATCTATTGGTTCACTCCCCAAATGGCCTCAATGGCCAGGGCTGGTCTAGACCAAAGCCAGGAGCCCAGAGCTCTATCTGGGTCTCCCAAGTGGGTGGCAGAGGCCCAGCTTGGGCCATCCTCCACTGCTCCCCCAGGCACATTAGCAGGAAGCTGGATCAGAAGTGAAACAGCAGACACTTGAATCAGCACTCTGATATGGGATGCCAGCATTGTAAGCAGTAGCTTAACCCACTGCGCCACAGTGTCAGCCCCTAGTTTCCAGGCATATTCATTCATACCACAGACTCACTAAATCCATAGCAGTCCATTTTCCCAAAACTGTGTCTCTTATAATCTCTTGGCCTCTGGGGCCAACATTGTGTGCAGTAGGTTAAGTTGCCACCTGTGATGCTGGCATCCCATATGAGTGCCAGTTCAAGTCCCTACTTCTTCACTTCCCATCCAGCTCTCTGCTAATGTGCCTAGGAAAGCAATGGAAGATGGGCCAAGTGTTTGGGCCCCTGCACCCACATGGGGGAGACCTGGATAAAGCTCTTGGCTCCTGGCTTCACCCTGACCTAGCCCTAGCCATTGCAGCCATTGCAGCATTAGGGGAGTGAGCCAGCAGATGGAAGACCTCCTCGCCCGCCCCCCCCCCCCCCGCTCTCTCTGTAACTCTGAATTTCGAATAAATAAATAAATCTTTTTAAAAAAGCTATTTTATAACATCTCTGGCTTTTCTCACTCCACCCAAACACTCAGTTGGCAAAAGTCTTGACAACAAAGTTAGACCTTTTGCTCAAACAGTGGAGAGGCCACAGCCCAGAGTCAAAACCTGAACTCTGCTGGATCTCTTCCCTATGACCATAGGGATTGCCTAGGCCTTTGGCCATGATAGTCGACCTGATATAGGTCAAGAGTTTGACACATACTTGATGCAGATTTCTTCTAATTTACTGACTTTCCATGAAATTGTATCTACCTTCAACATGCCAGATATAGTCTCTCTCCTCTAAATCCCAGTGAGCAAGGCCTCTCTTACCCCAAAGCCAAGAACAGATAAGAAGGAAAGGGGGAGGACAAGCCAGAAAAGGCTCAAGTGTTTATTTGGAACCTGGCGGAGCAGAAGAAAAGGTTGTCTGCTCTAGGCAGGCACCTCGTTCACTCCCTGGTCTGCAACATGAAGGTCCAAGAATGTTAGTTGGAACTGGAATCGTCTTCAGAGCAGCCCAGTTTCCCTGGAAAATAGAAAGAAACTAAATGAAAAAAAGAGCAAATGTCAGAGTCTAGATGCAAGGTGATGAGGCTAATTCATAACTATGGAGGGAACAGGGCAAAGATGCTCTTTGGAGGCACCCTGGGAAACTAGACAGAGAAACATTTCTTTTATTCTTTTTTGGTCAGTCTTATTTCAGGATTGGAGCCTGGTTGACAATCACACTTCAGGGGCAACCACCATCCTAGGAAATTTAGCAGCCTGGGCACTTTCTGAGCCTCCTTCCCATTCCACTCACTAAGGAAGCAAATGGCTATAAAGTATATATACTCCCAAGGCAGGACTACACAGGCCAGACCTCACCTGGTAGCTTCTTTCTTTTTTTAAGATGTATTTATTTATTTGAAAGGCAGAGTTACCACGAGAGAGGGAGAAAGAGAGAGAGAGATCTTCCATCCACTGTTTCACTCCCCAAATGGCCACAGGAGCTAGAGCTGAGCCAGGCCAAATCCAGGAGCCAGGAACTCCATCCCAGTCTCCCACATAGGTGGCAGGGGACCAAGTACTTGGGCTATCTTCCATTGCCTTCCCAAGTGCATTATCAGAGAACTGAATCAGAAGTAGGGCAGCCAGGACTCGAACTGGCGCTCATATGGGACACTGGCATTGCAGGAGGCAGCTTAACCTGCTGCACCACTACACCAGCCCCTCTGTAGCTTCAGTTTAATACTTATTAAAGCTCTGTGGTGGACTCCTTACATCAATTATTTTATTGAGTCCCCACAACTTTTTTTTTTTACATTTATTTAGTTATTGGATTGAAAGACTGAGTGACAGAAGGGAAAGACATCTTCCATCTGCTGGTTCACTCCCCAAATGGCCACAATGGTTGGGGCTGGGCCAGGCCAAAGGCAGGAGCCAGGAATTCCTTTTGGGTCTCCCATTTGTGTGTAGCAGGGACCCAAGTACTAGAGTCATCATCTGCTGCCTTCCCAGGCACATTAGCAGGAAGCTGGATTAGAGCAGAGCAGCTGAGACTCCAACTCATGCTTCAATATGGGATACCAGTATTGCAAATGGCAACATAACCTGCTGTGCCATAATGCTAGCCCCAACAGCTTTTTTTTTTTTTTTTTTTTTTTTTTTGAAGGCAGAGAGACAGAGATTTGCCATCTGCTTGCCCCCTAGGGTATACATTTAGCAAGAAGGAAGCTGGAATTGGGAGCAGAGCTGAGACTTGAACCTAGGCATTTTGAATGGGATACAGGAACCTTAACCATTACACCAAATGCCCACCCCTGAGATACACTCACACATACACACACACACACCTTTGTTAGGAATCTAAAGCCAAATGTATGAAATAATTTTCTCAAGTCAGAAAAATACTACTCAAAGTCAAATTAGAATCTAATTCATTTGACTCAGAATCTTTTTCTTGCCTACCTCTTTTATTTCCTCCCACATGAGATTGCCTCTAACACTGTGCCAAAGCAGCAAACTTTGTGAAGGGACTAGACTTAAGTTTCTCTTCTTGTTGGAGGAAGAGAAATAGTCCTACAGGTACTCTGGACCCCTAAGCTCCTTTGCTGTAATGTACCACATGTCAATTATATTCTCTTTTACGAGGAGACTAGAGGCCTTCTCTTCTAGATATGTTCTTTGTTCTATACCTGTGTTCTCATATATACCCCAAAACCATACATTCTTAAAATAAACTTTTTTTTTTGGACAGGCAGAGTTAGACAGTGAGAGTGAGAGAGACAGAGAGAAAGGTCTTCCTTCTGTTGGTTCACCCCCCAAATGGCTGCCATGGCCGGTGTGCTGCGCCGATCCGAAGCCAGGAGCCAGGTGCTTCCTCCTGGTCTCCCATGCGAGTGCAGGGCCCAAGCACTTGGGCCATCCTCCACTTCTTAGGCCACAGCAGAGAGCTGACTGGAAGAGGAGCAACCGGGACAAAATCAGGCGCCCAACCGGAACTAAAACCTGGAGTGCTGGCACCGCAGGCAGAGGATTAGCCTAGTGAGCCGCGGCACTGGCCAACAATAAACATTTGATTACTGCCTACCATTCTAGGTACTGGTGGGCTAGGGGTGTTAAAAATGAATAAGGAGGGGCCGGCGCTGTGGTGTAACGGATAAAGCCTGCTGTGCTAGCATCCCATATGGACACTGGTTCAAGTCCCGGCTGCTCCACTTCCGATCCACCTCTCTGCTATGGCCTGGGAAAGCAGCAGAAGATGGCTTCTGGTTCCTGGCTTCAGATAGGTGCAGTTGGAAGTCTTACATCCAATGGGGAGTGAACCAGCAGATGGAAAACCTCTCTCTCTCTGCTTCTTCTTCTCTCTCTGTGTAACTCTGACTTTCAAATAAATAAATAAATCTCAAAAAAAAAAAAAAAAGAATAAAGAAGGACCAGCACTGTGGCGTGGTGGGTAAAGCTGTCACCTGCAATCCTGTATCGGCACTGGCTCAAGTCCCAGCCACTCTACTTCCAACCCAGCTCCCTGCTAGTGCACCTGGGAAATAAGTGGAAGATGGCCCAAGTCCTTGGGCCCCTGTATCCACGTGGGAAACTCAGAAGAAGCTCCTGGCTTCAGATCAGCCCAGTTCCAGTCATTGCAGCCATTCGGGGAGTGAACCAGTGAATATAAGATTCCCTCTCTCTCTCTCTCTCTCTGCCTCTCTATAATACTATGTTTCAAATAAATAATAAATAAATCTTTAAAACAAGAAAAGAATAAGACTTGGGGCTGGCATTCTAGCATAGTGGGTGAAGCCACCGCGTGCAATGCTGACATCCCATTTGGGTGCCAGTTCATGTCCTGGCTGTTCCACTTCTGATCCAGCTCCCTGCTAATGGAAAAGTAGTGAAAGATGAACCAAGTACTCGGACCCCTGCCACCCACATGGGAGAACTAAACAAAGCTCCTGGCTTCTGGCTTTGGCCTGGCCCAGATTCAGCCATTGTAACCATCTGGGACCAGTGGATGGAAGATCGATACCTCTCTTTCTCTCTCTATCTCTCTCTCTCTCTCTCTCTGTGTAACTCTTTCAAATAAATAAATCCTTCAAAATAAACAAGTGAAAGAGTAAGACTTGCTGCTTGCTGTCCACTTGCTTATATTTATTTTAAAGGCATAGTTACAGAGAGAAAGAGAAATCATCCATCCACTGATTTACTCCTCAAATGGCCACAATGGCCAGAGCTGGGTCTGTCCAAAGCCAGGAGCCAGGAGCCTTTTCTGGGTCCCCCATGTGGATGCAAAGGCCCAAGCACTTGGGCCATTTTCCACTGCTTTCCCAGGCTCATTAGCAGGGAGCTGTATTGGAAGTGGAGCTTCCAGAACTCCAACCAGCATCCATATGGGATGCCAGTGCCACAGACGGTGGCTTTACCCACTATGCCGAAATGCCAGCCCTAGCACAAGTCTATTCTTAAAGGAAGGAATTAAGGCTAAATCTGTGGGGTTTTTTTTAAGATTTATTTTATTTATTTGTAAGAATTACAGAGAGAGAGAGAGAAAGAGAAAGGAAGATTATCTTCCATCTGCTGATTCACTCCCCATATGGCCACAATGGCCAGGTCTGGGCCAGGCTGGAGCCAGGAGCCAGGAGCTTCATCTGGGTCTCCCATGTGGGTTCAGGGGCCCAAGCACATGGGCCATTCTCTGCCACTTTCCCAGGCACACTACCAAGGAGCTGGATTGAAAGTGAAGCAGACAGTACTCAAACCAGGGCTCATATGGAATGCTGGCATTGCAGGTGGTAGTTTTACCCACTATGCCGCAGTGCCAGCCCCAAGGCTAAATCTTGAAAAAATTGTCTCTTTACCAAATATACAAAGAGGGAAAATTCTTTTAAGCAAAGGATAGCCATGTGAGCAAACACCTAAAGGCAAAATAGTCTAGTCTGTTGTGCAAATCATTTGGAAAATCTAGAGAATAGGGTACAAGGGAGATGCAAGAAAAACAGAGCTGGAAAGGTATATGGACAGGTGACAGATCTGAAGTCTCAGTGTTTCCAAAGCCTCAGCCAGACACCCACTTTCTACTGACACAGTACAAACAGACCCAGCATCTCTCACTATCAAACTTGGTCCCATCATTAAGCATCTGCATTTTGCTGCACTAAAGCCTTTTTGGGGTAAAGTAGGACCTCAGAAAAAGCCAAATTATTCTATTTTGTTATTTATTATTGTTAATCTCACAATTAAGCATTATTATAAATATATCCATAGAGGAAAAAAACATAGTTGACGTAAAGTTTGGTGCTATCCATGGTTTCAGGCATCCTCGGAATGTCTTGAAGGACTTACTGTATTTCCCCTGCTGTTGGAACATCTCATCTTCCTTTTAGCCCCATTTCTTCTCACTCTCTTCCCCGCATTTCCTGTCCTCTGAGCACACCACAGTATTTCATGTCCCTATTTCTTAAATCGCCGTGTCTTTGCTCATGCTGTTTAACAGCCTAGAATGCCTTCTCTTTGATCACTGCCTGGAAAACTTTGCTCACCCTTTTAGACCCAGTTCCAATTCTCCTCCTGTGTAAAACCTCCCCAAAGCCGAGTACAGAGATTCAGTCCAGTCCTCCTGTGTAGGAAGAAGCTTTGGCACATTATATTCCTGAGAACTTCTCAAAAGCAGAGTTACAGTTGAAGAGGATAACTGTTTGTGAATACAGAATTAGAAGGAGCTAGATTTGAAATGACATCTTTCATTGCCAGTTTTCAGAAAACCTTTTCCTTTTCTTTTGTAGCTAAACGAATGAACGAGGTGATCGTGGGGAATGACCAACTCATGGAGATCTGAGTTCTGAGAAAGGAACACTCCTTTCCTTTCGGCCCCCAAAGCTACAGATGTTATCTGGCCCACCTATTTGATTCTGTATTTATTTCAATAAAGAAGATCTTCCAAAGACATGTTGACTACTGACAGAACAGTCCCAAGCTTCATATCATAAGGGCTGCAGATATACACAGTGTGTGTTTATGGGTCCTGTGGTACAGACCATCCAGAGCAAGCATGGGGAACAGAAAAGACGCAGGGCCTCGCTCTTGTATACCAAGGGTATCAGCTGGGATGCAGCTAGCAGTGGGAAAGCTCCTAGAAGGGCTGCCTTCTGACTGACTGATATTACCCAGTCCACCTAGTCCACAGCATCACTCAGCTACTTCCGTCCCTGACCCCAGTCAGGCCTTCAGGCCTTCTAGACTCCGGACCTAGCTGCCGGCAGTGCCACACCTGAACATCAGTTCAGGAGTTGTTATTCTTTGCTCCCACCTGCTACACAGATTCCTAGCCCCTCACTGCACCTCTCCATTCACTTATCTTGGCAGCCTCTAACCATTTTCTCCAGTTCAACTCTTGTCCCTTGGAGGCTCTTAAAGCAAGCAGAAGGCAACCCCTGCCATGCAAACAAGCCTGGCCCCGCAGGTTTTGATGGAGACAAGGGCTTGGAGATCCATGGCCTGAAACCATGGTCTGAGTCAAGCCAGACCTGTCGCCCAGCCTGGCAAGGAAGAGCCAGGAACCTATACCACGGTTTGCCATTCTTTCTGATTCTTCTCAGCTGCGTTCCTTTATATCCTAATTATACAGACTCTCCTGCTTCAGATAATTGCGGAATCAGATTTCCATATCCATAGCTCTTCTGGAGTCCTGTCCTCCTTCCCTCTACCACCCCTGCTCTCAAACACACACATACACTCTGCTGTTGTGTGTACCCTCCCTGTACTGCGTTTACAACCTCCAGGTGTTTGGTGGAAGATTAAAGTGGCTCCTGGGGTGAGATTTCACCTCCTAGAATTTTCAAAGTAAAGGTTTCTCTTGATGTCCTCACTGTGGGTGGCAGTAATTATAAAGAATGATTTGAAATACTGGTTTCTACGTTGCTTCAAAAATCTCATGGCTCTCAAGTTCACTTAAGTAATCTTGCCTGATCTTAGTGTTGTTCTCATTGAACTTGTGAGAGACTAGATGAGCATTCCTACCCTGGGGGAGCTCCACCTCCACCAGCCTTCTTGGGAGCTCTGGAGCTCCACATTCCTCCCACTGGTAAGGATAAGGATAAAAAGTTTGCCCTGATCAGGGGCAGGGGAGGGAGAGAGCTGAAAAGGCCCAGCAGAAGGGATTGAAACCGATAGGGCTGAGGGGAGGGAAAGATAAAGAATTGAAGTTATGCCCATGAGGATCCCCTTTGGAGCTAAACTGAAATTTGTGGGATCCAAATAGTGCTGGAGACAGAGTCCTGGTCTGGATGGAAGGAGACTTGACCTCTGTAATGTTTTCTGGTTTTGATCAAATCACTGCCTCTCCTCTGACCCTGTTTCCCTGTCTGCAAAATGAGAGTTAGATGGGATGACTCTTTTTTTGTAAGGATTTATTTTTTATTTATTTGAAAGGCAGAGTTACAGAGAGAGACAGAGACAGACTTTCCACCCATTGGTTCACTCCTCAAATGACTAACCACCAGGGCTGGGCCAGGCCGAAGCCTGGAGCTAGGAGCTCTTCCTGGGTCTCCTGTGTGGGTGCAGAGGTCCTAAGCCCCCCTGCATTCCCAGGCACATTAGCAGGGAGCTAAATCAGAGGTGGAGCAGCCAGTACTCCAACCAGTGCCCATACGGGATGCTGGCATTGTAGGAGGCAGCTTAACCCATTACACCACAACGCCGGCCCTAAGATGGGGTGACTTTTAAAGACCCTTCCCAGTCTCAAGTTTTATCACCTTTCACAGTGCTTTCTGGCCCTGAGGGCCCCCTATGCTCCTTGACCACAGAAAGGGGATAAAGCTGGGTAGGTTTTGAGGAAGAAGTGAGGTAGATTGAACTCCCAGACCCCTCCTACAACCCATCCTCTCCTTCCCCTGAGGGTGAAGTAGAGGAAAAACCTGTCCTCTGCCTTCCTCTTGTACAAACCAATCCAGCAGCTCCTGCACCAAGGAATGAAGAAAGCTGGAGAAAACAGAAAAGGTAAGGGTTCCCCAGGGGATGGCCTTGCTCAGTTTGAGTTCCAGGTGGAAGCAGCCCCCAGCACAGGACACTGGTGCTCATGTCTCTAACAGAATTCCCTGGGTGCCCAAGATGCTTAGATTTTTCTTCTCTGCTCTATTTGTCTTTCAGAGGCAGGGACAGTTTTTATTTATTTAATCCACTGGCCGGCCACTCTCCAGGGAATAGAAGCCAAAAAGAGCCAGGCAGAAAGAAGAGTTGGTAGGGTCTGCCCAGCCTGTCCCAGTGATGGTTGATGTAGGGAGTGGGGGGAAGATAGGGGGCCTTCGATGCCAAATCAGGAAGAATTCTGGGGAGGTGCTGAGAAATAGGGTTCCAGGAGCTTGCCAGGTTAGATAAAATTTGATGCTATCACTCCAGGAACACACCCCCAGATCCCCCCCCAACACACACACACACACACACACACATCCTTTCACAATAGTAACACCTTTCCCTACCTGCTGGCAAGAGCTTTCTGAGCCCGTAAGGGAACTGACTGCCAAGATTTCTCTCCAGGCTTTTCCCAAGGCCAGATGCCGAACTTCTTCCTAGTGCTTCATTGCATTACTGTTCCCATCCTCAGTGGAGAGAGAAGGAAATTATGTTGAGATATCACCCCCAGAGCAATCTAGGGGCCTGCATTCTCAGTTTAGGGGCGGTCTGTATTTCCAGAGAATTGAAGGGAGTATGCTTTATTTATCCACAGCCATCCTTATACCTAAAGAGACACATAAACCAGGCCTTTGTTTATGTTTTCTAAATTGCTAAATGTGTCTGAGGAGAGGGGAGGGGCTGTGGGAAGGACCACCCAGACAGAAGGTCTAGAAAGCTGAGCTCTGATGGAGCTCTCTGCTGACTGGGAGGGAAAGAGGCTGGGCAGGAGAATACAATCTGTTTGGCCAGGATGACCTGTCCTTGGCCTGAACTGTCCACCACCACCCAAGAGGATTGCGTCAGGGACCATTCTGCCAGGGATAAATAGGGCCATGAGGCTTTGGTTCTCCTCCCTCCCTCCCCCACACTAAAGGTAAAAGCCCTTCTCCAATCTCTGGTTGCAGCCTCTGGCACCAAAGATTTAATAGGTGCTATTGGCCTTAAGCTTCCTCCGGGGAAGAAGCATGTACTCCCAGGCTTGACCCTTGAATGTAATAGGTGGGGGTATGGCTTCCCAGGGTCCTGCTTCCCTCCTCAACACTTCAGCATCGTTTACTCTCCCTGGCCCAGATAACAAAAGCCAGCAAAAAGCAAGTAAGACTCCTGAAGGAATGCCAGGGAGAGTAGACCTGCCCTGGCTCCTCCACAAACTCCCACATGCACCCTCCCCTGAAGCCAGACTGGTCCCTTCTCCCAACACTAATATGTTAAGAGTGTACTCCACCTTATTTTTCCTGGCGCTGTTCAGCCATGTATATTATTTTAGAGATACGTGACTTGTCCAAGTTCTTACAGCCAGTAGCTGAAAGATCAAACCTTGAAGCATGTCTTCCTTTTATAGTCTGTCATCCTCCCACCTCTTCCATCTGATTTGGGGAAACTCCCTGAGTACCCTCTGCCCACAGTGATTTCCCCTGTGGTCTCTGTGCTCCCCCTCAGGCTATGAGTTCCGAAAAAACAGGTACCCTGCAACCCTAGAGCTCAGCAAAGGGGTGGACCTATAAGGGACCCCAAGATGTGTTTATCTCATGAATCAGTAATTAGTTTTAATCCTTGTGATGATTAATTAGCTTACTTTTCTCCTTTGTTGTTCTTTAAAGGATATCTCTGGTTTGGGCCCAAAACACACCCAGGTCTAATGGAAGTGACAGTGAAGCAAGCTGTTCCACTATGAAGCAGGGTATTTGTGGAGAGAGGATCCTCTGTATCCCTTCCTATAACTGGGGCCTGTGGCTTGAGCCCTGGCTAAGTTCAGCTGGACTTGAAATGATTTTGCTGGGGAGAAGAAATGTCAGTTTGGAGCCTGGAGCAGCCAGAGGGCTCGAGGCCCTCAGTCGAAAGTCTGGAACTTCAGACCCATTTCTCCCAGCCTGGTCTTTGGACTACAAAACAAGAAGAGGTTTCCTCAGTAGACAAGCCCTGCCCTGGAAGCTGCCATAGGAATGGGGGACGTTGCTAAAATTCTTAGCCATGGTGGAAGCAGGGTCCCAAGACCCAGGTGATTACAGCTCTGTTTCTCCACAGAGCTTGCAGAGTCTGAGAAGAAGGAAAGCAATTCTGCATGTAATCCTGAGGACATCCAGGACTGATTTCTGGCCCTTGCCTGTCTTTAGCTGTAGCAACAGCAGCCTAGGAACTCAGGCTATTTCAGAGGCTCTTCCTAGTTCCAGAGACCTGCTGGACATGTACCTTCTTTATCCACAGCAAGACACACTCCTATGCCAGGGAGGAAGAAAGTACTGTATACAGAGGCTGCTTTTTATGTGCACTTACTACTTGGCCGGCAGCATCATACCCGTATTAGTTCCTCCACAGACATCTCGCCGGAGGAATAGATAAACAGAAGTGACAAACTATTAGGTATTCATCCTCTCAACCTAAAGGTTCCCTTGACCCAGGACCGAGGCTCAGGGGATGATGCAAATTCTCAGTTTTTCAAAAGCAGTTTGGCAGTGTGTAGCAAGAACCATAAAAATGTTCATCCTGTTTGACCCAAACAACCCCATTTCTGGGAATCTGTCTCAAGGACATTCTTCAAATGATTGATACAAAGACTATGTAGTAACATGACATGTTTATGATGTAATGATAAACAAAGAAGTGTGGAAGAATTGACCAAGAATTTCACCAGAAGTAATAGCAGTTGTGTTCAACAAATAAGGAATCCATTGGAGATTATTTCTATTTCCCAAATGTTACATACTGGAGTATTGATTTTACCCTACTCTGCCACTCCGGGTTTTTCAGTCAGGGGCCAGTGTTCTAGTGCAGCAGTTTAAGCTGCCACCTGTAACACCAGCATCCCATATCGGAGAGCCAGTTCAAGCCCTGGCTGCTCCACTTCTGATACAGCTCGCTGCTAATGCTCCTGGGAAGGCATCAGAAGATGGTCCCCTGCCACCATGTGGGAGACAGGGATGGAGTTCCTAGTTCCTGGCTTTAGCCTGGCCCAGCCCCGACTGTCATGGCCATTTGGGGAGTGACCCAACAGATGGAAGAACTCTTTCCCTCTGTTTCTCCTCATCTGTCACTCTGATGTTATTTCTTTTTCTTTTTAAAAGATTTATTTATTGGGCCAGCGCCGTGGCTCACTAGGCTAATCCTCCGCCTTCCGTCCCCGGCACACCGGGTTCTAGTCCCGGTCGGGGCGCTGGATTCTGTCCCGGTTGCCCCTCTTCCAGGCCAGCTCTCTGCTGTGGCCAGGGAGTGCAGTGGAGGATGGCCCAAGTCCTTGGGCCCTGCACCCATGGGAGACCAGGATAAGTACCTGGCTCCTGCCATCGGATCAGCGCGGTGCGCCAGCGGTGGCGGCCATTGGAGGGTGAACCAATGGCAAAGGAAGACCTTTCTCTCCGTCTCTCTCTCTCACTGTCCATTATTCTGCCTGTCAAAAAAAAAAAAAAGATTTATTTATTGGGGCTGGTGCTGTGGCCCACAGTGCCAGCATCCCATATGGGTGCCGGTTTTAGTCCCAGCTGTTCCACTTCCGATCTAGCTCTCTGCTATGGCCTGGGAAAGCAGTGGAGGATGACCCAAGTCTTTGGGCCCCTGCACCCATGTGGGAGACCTGAAAGTTCCCGGCTCCTGACTTCGGATTTGCGCAGCTCCTGTTGTTGCGGCCAATTAGGAGGTGAACCAACAGATGGAAGACCTCGCTCTCTGTGTCTCTGCTTTCTCTGTGTACTCTGACTTTCTTTAAAAAAGATTTATTTATTTATTTATTTGAGAGCCAGAGTTACAGAGAGGGAGAGACAGAGAGGTCTTCCATTGCTGGTTCACTCCCCCAAATGGCTGCAATGGCCAGAGCTGGGCCATCAGAAGCCAGAAACTTCTTCTGAGTCTTCCACATGGGTGCAGGGGCCCAAGCACTTGGGCCATCTTCTGTTGCTTTCCCAGACGCTCTAGCAGGGAGTGGGATCGGAAGTGGAGCAGCTGGGACTCGAACTGGTGCCCATACAGGATGCCAGGACTACAGGCAGAGGCTTAACCTACTATGCCGCAGCGACGGCCTCATGTTATTTAATTTTTATAAAAATATTTATTTATTGAAAGGACAAGGGCAGGAACGCATGGAACACGGTGTATTTAGGACTGGAAGGAAGACTGGGAGATTGGGAGGGAGAAGGCTTTAGTTGGATCATGTGGGGCCTGTGCTCCAAGTGGCCCGCGTGCTCTGCAGCTCTCAGAAGATTTGCATTTTACAGAAGTAACTCTGGCCTCAGCCGAGACGGCGGACTAAAGGCAGCAGGAATGGATGCGGAGAAGAGTGGAAAGTTAAAGCTTTACGTTTTGGTTGGGTTGGGAAAAAGGACCAGCAGACAGCCTTTCTCAGCACGGCCTCGCCTGACATACTTGGCCAGCGCCACTCGTCTCCGGGATCCCCCCCTAACCGCCCCATCTCCTCCAGGAGGGCCCAGCGGGCAGGGAGGCGAGGCTAGGGGTGGCCCTGCCTGGGTGGTCTCCTGCCCCGCCCCCTGCGGCGCTGTTACCTAGCAGCGGATCCGGCCCCGCGGCTCCGGGTAATTTGCGGGCCCCTCAGCCAATGGGAGGGCGGTGCCCCGGCCCGCTCCCTTTTTCTGGGGCTCCCGCCGCCTCCCCGGCACTGCTGTCGCGACCTCGAGCTAAGCTCAGCGCCGCGGGCCGGCCGTTCTGCCCGCACGCGGAACCGAGCGGGAGGGCGCGGAAGCGCCGTGCGCTCCTCCGTGTCGCCACCGCTGCGCGCTCGCCCGTCCGCAGCACCCAGCGCCCTTTCCGCTCCATTCAGCCCCCACGCGGGGCCGGCGGTACGCGGCCAGGCCAGCGTATGGGAGCGCTCAGATAACGCGGGTTGGGGGCGCCCGCGCCCCCTATCCCCGCCAGCATGGCCCGACCGCCGCCCCCTGGCTACACGCCCCCAGCTCGGTCCGCAGCACCCCAGGTAAGTAGGAGGGAAGCTGGAAGAAGGAAGAGTGGGGCCCGGAGTGTTGCTGGGGCCTTTACAAGGTGCCTTAACTTGCCTTGTGCCTTGCATTTAGTGTCTGCTTGACGACAGGTGAGAGTTAGCACTGCCACACAAGTTGTGTGTGTGTGTGTGTGTGTGTGTGTGTGTGTGTGTGTCTCTACCTCTCCTTGAAATCTGGCCAGTGGGAGGGATTGTGTGTAGGGTTACCTCTGTGCCCACCTGCCAACAGAGCTGTGTGTGTGTGGCCTACTTTCAGAAAGGGGGTTCACGCCTTCCTCAGGTGTATGTTGGTGTGGGAAGCAGGAAGTTGAATCTTCCAAGTTCGGGCCTGTGTCTGTGTAGGTGCTGCCTGTCTTGCATACAGAAATCAAGACGCTAAGTGCTTGGCAGAGGGCATGTGTAGGGAGAGAAGGGGGGATTTCGTGCATTGTTACCCTAACACCTGGCTGATCCGTCTCTTTCTATCCCAGATCCTAGCTGGGAGCCTGAAGGCTCCTCTCTGGCTCCGGGCTTACTTCCAGGGCCTGCTCTTCTCTCTGGGCTGCGGGATCCAGAGACACTGTGGCAAAGTGCTCTTCCTGGGACTGTTGGCCTTTGGGGCCCTGGCACTGGGTCTCCGCGTGGCCATTATTGAGACAGACCTGGAACAGCTCTGGGTAGAAGGTGAGTTGTGGACACTCCATAGCTGCTTGGGTGGTGAGCTGGTTACTGAGCCCTGGTAGGCCTGACCTTGGGTCCGGAGGGGCAGGTGCCAGCCAGAGTGCCAGCCAAAGTACTGTCCGTGTGCATATGCCAATGGTGGAGTCCTGTTCAACAGGATTTGGAATATTTAGTTGGTTTACAAAGGCAGCTAAAACCAGACCCATCCTCTAGTAGCAAGGCAAATAAAAATACGTGCTGGGAGAGCTATAATATAAAGCAAAGTAGAATATGGGTATGTTGTGTGGGAGAAGAGAGACCACTGGAGCCCATGGGAATCAGAAGTGTGAGGTCGGGAAAGCTGGGGGACGTGAGTCAGTGGTCTGGCCAGGCCTCCAGGGTCAGGGCCCATGAACCGCAGGCCCCATAAACCAGTTAGCGGAAAAGCAACACCGAATATGCGTTGAGTCAACAGCCAGCGTTAGACAGGTTCCAACCTCACTGCCTAATGGAAGCTCTAGATAATTCCTTGTCCATTCCAGGGCGATTCCCTGCCCTCCTGAGGCCTGGTTTCAGATGACAGCCCTTTGTCAGTCAGACTCCGCCCAGTTCTTCCCTGGGAAATTTGCATTGTGGGCTCCCCTGGACCTCCCCGAGCCCTGGCCCATACCCAAAGGCAGGGCCCAGGTTGGAGTCTCACACCCTTGAGTTATTTCAAATGCTGGCAAGTCCTAGGATCCAGAGCAGATGTTTCTTGGAGCCTGCCTGCCTACTGGGCTCCCACACCCCATCTCCACCCTACCCCCAGCCCTCCACAGACTCACACGTTCACACTCTAGGCCAGCCCTGGGGTTCAGAGCAGATGTTTCTGCCTGCCTACCTCCAGCCTCAGAACACACATGTACATACTCGCACATAGACATATCCCCACCCACACCACTGCTGCCTGGGTGGTCCCAAATGACTCTTGGATTTCCTGCCACAACAGAGGCAGGCTCCCTCCCCTTCCTCCTTCTCCACTCCCCACCTCTTCCCGTCTTGAGTCTTGAACCTCTGTGTTTCCTCATCCTCTCCAGCACGCCAGGAGAGGCCAGACCCCACTCATTTTCTGCTGTTGTTTGGTGGAGGTGTTGTAAGAGGGTGGTCACCAATTCCTTTACTTTTGTCTTAGATTAGCTGAGAGTTAGGTGAAAGCAGTGACCTTGACCTGGTCTTCTCTACATCTGTAGCCAGGCCTTGTTTGTAGTAAGGCTTTTCCGCACAGTGCCTGCAGCAGTGAGGAACTGATAGGGGGAGGGCTGAATGCTGTTCTCTGTTCCTTTGGCATTTTGCTAATACAGGAAGCAGGGGAAGAAGCTATCAGAGTTCTGGGCCAGAGTTCAGATCCTCCCCCATCTGCCTTGTAAGAATTGGAATGTGACCATCTTTCCTGCTCAACCAAAAGCTGAAGGCTCAGGGGTAGATTGTTCTGTAAAATAGAAACCACAACCTGTAGTCCAGCTGGTACTTCCAAGAACACTGACAGAGACAGTAGGGAACCGGAGCTGTCCCTGAAGATAAGGAACAGCCAGCCCTTCTGTTTAGGTCAGAAGTGGCCGTGTATCCATTGGTAGAGACTCTGACACCCAGAGCTAAACCCTTGGGAGTCAGCCTCCGCTCCTCTTGTCACCTAATGGGTTCCCAGACTCTTCCTTCTTAGCACCTTTCCTGACAGATACCCCTCCCCCTGCTGCGGCTGGGGAGACACAGTCCTGATGGTACCCTTCAGCATGCTTCCAGCCACGGGAAAGAAGGGCAGGGAGGAGGGGAGAAGAAAGCGAGACATTCATTTATTAGCCTCTGTGACAAGGAGCTTGGCGGTAGAGAAATCCCAGCGGGTTAGTTCAGCAGCAGCTCAAGGACATCGACAAGGACTCAGGTTCATTCTTTCTCTGCGTGTCCGTCGTTTGTCCTCAGGCTTATCCCAAAGGGGCTGCTGTAGTGGCAGAAAAAAGCAGCCATCCCTGTCCAACAACCACTTTAGAAAGCAAGGAAAAATCTACCTGAAGCTCTCTAGCCCCCTTCCCGTTTGTGCTCTTTGTCAGGATTGTATGGCATCCTCTGCATAACGCCTTCACTTGTCAAGGGCTATGGAATTACAAGGATTGGCTTAGACTAATCAAGTTTCACCCTCTGATGCCGGGGCGCTATAGCCAGCTGTCCTTAACCACAAGGCCTTTGAGAAAATGGCCAACGGTACCAAGACCTGTTAGAAGGAAGGGAAGGAGGTGACAGACCTGTCAATGGCACCACAACGCCCCCCTGTGGTGTGGCACAAATCTGGCCACATCAGTCCCCTGCTTGGAGCCCTACCACCAATTCCCACCAGATTCTGTAAGTCTCCAGGATCAACCATAAGCTCCATAGCATATTTTCTTTTTTAAAAAAAGTTTATTTTTTGTATTTATTTGAGAGGTAGATTTACATAGTGAGAGGGAGAGACAGAGAAAAAGTTCTTTCATCCGCTGGTTCACTCCCCAAACGACAGTGGAGCATCTGAGACCAGAACCAGTGCCCATATAGGATGCTGGCACTGCGGGTGGCGGGATAACCTAGTGTGCCACAGCGCCCGCCCCATAGCATATCTTCTAGGCCCTGCAAATTGGACTCTTACTTCTCCAGCATTGTCTCTGGCTCCTCTCTGGCTCACTGTTAGCACTGAGACACCAAACCTTTGTCAGTTCCCTGCACAGAACACACCTTTTCCTGGCCTCTTCCCCTCATTATTCACAGCTTGGCTCCAGAATACATTGTTAGGTGATAAAAATGTCAAGTCATCCCACTCCGCTTCTTATAACCTACCATGAATCCCTACAATAGCTTTCAGACCTTGACATGGGAAATTTCTGGACCAAAGGTTATGAGCATGCATATTGCAGTATTGCTTGACCCCAAATAGTGCACCAAATGACACTCCCATAGTGGATTAGCATGTATTCCTGTAGCCCAGGAGTGATAGCCCAGCTATCAATTTTTGATTTTTTGCAAATATGACAGTGGCTAATTTGTTGTTATTTTAATTTGCATTTATAGAATTACCTATAAGGTGGACTTCTTCCCTATTGGATAACCAACTATATTTTCCCTTTTAGAAAGGCTCAAAAGTCTTAACAAATGTGCTGATTTTTATATTCTCTCTCCCCTCTCCCTGGTCCTTCCCCATTCACCTATGTTCTTTTTTTTTTTTTTTTTAAGATTTATTTATTTATTTGAAAGTCAGAATTACACAGAGAGAGAGAGACAGGTCTTCCATCCGCTGGTTCACTCCTCAATTGGCCACAACAGCACCAATTCGAGGCCAGGAGCCAAGAGTTTCTTCCAGGTCTCCCACATGGATGCAGGGGCCCAAGTGCTAGGGCCATTTTCCACTGCTTTCCCAGGCCACTGCAGAGAGCTGGATCGGAAGTGGAGCAGCTGAGACTTGAACCAGTGCCCATATGGGATACAGCACTGCAGGCGGCAGCTTTACCCACTACGCCACAGCGCCTGCCCTTTGATGTTGTCTGTTTCTTCCTCTTGCCCTCTCGTCAGGTCTCTCTGGTTCTGTCCTTCTGTGCCCCTTCCACTCTGCCATCCCCTTTACATGTGACAGCCTCTGGCCTCGGCTGGGGAAAGCAGCCCTGCAGTACAGCCTGGAAAAGCAGTGGGGAGTAGGACAGAGTCCGGGAAGGCGGAATTCGACAAGGAAGGGGACCAGCGTGGCTGTGCTTCCGAGGCGAGGGCCAGGAGTGGGACTTGGGTTGGCGATGGGAGCGAAGGGGCAGCCAGGGTTTGGGGCTGTCTTGAGTGGGGAGATTATGTGGATTTGAAAAAGGAATTGGAGAGCATGATGTCCCGGGCGGGGCTGGAGTCTCAGAGAAGCAGTGCATGTGCATTCAGGTCCCATGACCGAAAGGAAGAGGCCCCCAGGCAGGCAGGAGCAGAACTGGGTCTCACACCAGACCAAGTTCACAAAGCCTCCAGGGTGGATTTGGCTCTGGCCCTCACCCTCCACAAACCACAGCTGAGTCATATCCCCT